GAGCCTAGGCGGCCCTAGGCGCTCCTAGGCGGCCTTGGCGGGCTCGGCGGCCAGGCGGTTAGGCGGCGTCTAGGCGGACCTAGGCGCTCCTAGGCGGGCTCGGCGGCAATTTTTTAATTTTTTTTTAATTTCTTTTTTATTTTTTTAAATACTAATTACATTATTTTGTTCTCATGTTTTCTTTAATATATATTAATATTATTATTTGGACTTTGGTGTGTGAATTTATTATATGTTGAGATAATATTATTTTGTAGGTAGTTAAAATAAATAAAAAATAAGGTATTTACTATTGATTTCTGGGCTCCGACTAGGCGCCGCCTAGGCCCCGACTAGGCGCTCTAGGCGCTAGGCACTGGTCGAGCGCCTAGCGGGCGCCTAGCGACTTTTAAAACACTGGTTAATACGCCGCCGTTGGCCATACCTGCTGAAACCGTCACGAGTATAGTTATGCCATTGATGGCGTTCTCTATTGCATCTTCATGTTCTCTGCCATATATGAGATTTACCTTCTTCAGTTTAATTTATGAGAACTCCAAAGAGTGAGTGAATAGAAATAAAATTGGAAAGAGAATGAGTTTTTTAAATTTTTTATTTTTTCCTATTATTAAGGTAATATTATAAAAGGCATAGATTTTATTTTAAGTGTTACATTTGCTGCCACGTAAGTGGATGGTTCTAACAAAAACTATTGACGGGTTCCATAGGAAAACCGATAAACTACTTATACAATTTTTTTGTACAACATTCATGACTAACATGATGTGACATGATATGAATTATTAAAACAGTAATAAATACATGCCTAATATTTGCACAAATACTTACGTGCACCTAGGTACATCTTGCTAGGTGTGCCAAGGCAGAGAGTGAATGCACGTAAGAAAAAGGAGCGTGGCCTTAAAATGAAAATCTTGTCCAAATCCTTTCCCACGCGCAGAGAGAGAGAGAGATAATAAGGTATGCAAGTTTTTTTTTTTTTTGTTTAAAAAAGACAAGTGTCCAATATATATTGGATAATAAATTTTACATATCATATTATATAAATTAAATTATTATTCACATTTTATATTAAAAAATAAAAATAAAAATACCAAAATTCATAATTTTTCAATCTCTACAAATAGAGACCACATTTGATAAGTTTTGGAACACAATTAATTTATCATTTTTTATAATTAAATTATCTTTTTGGAAGGTGATGACACAAATATATAATAAGATGAACATGTTACATACTAAAATGCGCATGTTATATAGTAAAATGAACATGTTATAGAACAAGATGAAAATGTTATAATTTTACAGATGGAATTTAGATGAACATTTTATACAATAAGATGAACATGTTACATAATAAGATGAACATGTTATAGAATAAGATGAACATGTTACATATTTACACAATAAGATGAACATATGAACGTGTTATAAAATAAGATAAACATATGAACATGTTATATAGTAAGATGAACATATGAACATTGGAACACAATTAATTTATCATTTTTTACAATTAATTTATCTTATTGGAAGATTATGACGCAAATATATAATTAGATAAATATGTTACATAGTAAGATTAACATGTTATATAGTAAGATGAACATGTCATAGAATAAGATGAAAATGTTATATTTTTCAGAGATGAAATTTAGATGAACATGTTACATAATAAAATGAACATGTAATAGAATAAGATGAACATGTTTAGATTCCATATCTACATCACGGGCTCTCACATTATTTTCTCCAATTTCCACTTCATATATAAAATTCTGGTCAATTTCTTGCTCGACTTTCACTCGTTTAATGCAAGCATCTCCGCCCTGAAATAATAAACCATAATCTACAGATAAGAACTCAAATTTATGCAATAGTCATACTATAGGGAATGAAAGTGAAAAACTAGTAGAATGTAAAATAAATTTCATAAATTAGTCTTTCGATCGAATATCCTCCACCTTCACAAACCAAAATCCTCTCTAATAAGATGAAAATGTTACATTTTTCACATATGAAATTTAGATGAACATGTTATAAAATAAGATGAACATGTTACATAATAAAATGAACATGTTATACGATAAGATGAACATGTTACATAATAAAATGAACATGTTATAGAATAAGATGAACATGTTACATAATAAAATAAACATGTTATAGAATAAGATGGACATGTTTAGATTCCATATCTACATCACGGGCTCTCACATTATTTTCTCCAATTTCCACTTCATATATAAAATTCTGGTCAATTTCTTGCTCGACTTTCACTCGTTTAATGCAAGCATCTCCGCCCTGAAATAATAAACCATAATCTACAGATAAGAACTCAAATTTATGCAATAGTCATACTATAGGGAATGAAAGTGAAAAACTAGTAGAATGTAAAATAAATTTCATAAATTAGTCTTTCGATCGAATATCCTCCACCTTCACAAACCAAAATCCTCTCTAATAAGATGAAAATGTTACATTTTTCACATATGAAATTTAGATGAACATGTTATAAAATAAGATGAACATGTTACATAATAAAATGAACATGTTATACGATAAGATGAACATGTTACATAATAAAATGAACATGTTATAGAATAAGATGAACATGTTACATAATAAAATAAACATGTTATAGAATAAGATGGACATGTTTAGATTCCATATCTACATCACGGGCTCTCACATTATTTTCTCCAATTTCCACTTCATATATAAAATTCTGGTCAATTTCTTGCTCGACTTTCACTCGTTTAATGCAAGCATCTCCGCCCTGAAATAATAAACCATAATCTACAGATAAGAACTCAAATTTATGCAATAGTCATACTATAGGGAATGAAAGTGAAAAACTAGTAGAATGTAAAATAAATTTCATAAATTAGTCTTTCGATCGAATATCCTCCACCTTCACAAACCAAAATCCTCTCTAATAAGATGAAAATGTTACATTTTTCACATATGAAATTTAGATGAACATGTTATAAAATAAGATGAACATGTTACATAATAAAATGAACATGTTATACGATAAGATGAACATGTTACATAATAAAATGAACATGTTATAGAATAAGATGAACATGTTACATAATAAAATAAACATGTTATAGAATAAGATGGACATGTTTAGATTCCATATCTACATCACGGGCTCTCACATTATTTTCTCCAATTTCCACTTCATATATAAAATTCTGGTCAATTTCTTGCTCGACTTTCACTCGTTTAATGCAAGCATCTCCGCCCTGAAATAATAAACCATAATCTACAGATAAGAACTCAAATTTATGCAATAGTCATACTATAGGGAATGAAAGTGAAAAACTAGTAGAATGTAAAATAAATTTCATAAATTAGTCTTTCGATCGAATATCCTCCACCTTCACAAACCAAAATCCTCTCTAATAAGATGAAAATGTTACATTTTTCACATATGAAATTTAGATGAACATGTTATAAAATAAGATGAACATGTTACATAATAAAATGAACATGTTATAGGATAAGATGAACATGTTACATAATAAAATGAACATGTTATAGAATAAGATGAACATGTTACATAATAAAATAAACATGTTATAGAATAAGATGAACATGTTTAGATTTCATATCTACATCACGGGCTCTCACATTATTTTCTCCAATTTCCACTTGATACACAAAATTCTGGTCAATTTCTTGCTCGACTTTCACTCGTTTAATGCAAGCACCCCCGCCCTGAAATAATAAACCATAATCTACATATAAGAACTCAAATTTATGCAATAGTCATACTATAGGGAATGAAAGTGAAAAACTAGTAGAATGTAAAAGAAATTTCATAAATTAGTTTTTCGATCGAATATCCTCCACCTTCACAAACCAAAATCTTCTTTAATAAGATGAAAATGTTACATTTTCACAGATGAAAATTAGATAAACATGTTATAGAATAAAATGAACATGTTACATAATAAAATGAACATGTTATAGAATAAGATGAACATGTTACATAATAAAATGAACTTGTTATAGAATAAAATGAACATCTTACATACACAATAAGGTGAACATGTTACCAAAAAACGAAAATTAGTTGTGTTCAAAAACCTATCAAATGTGGTCTCTATTTATAGATAATGAAAAATTATGAATTTTGGTATTTTTATTTTATTTTTTTAATATAAATAATTAATGATATTTTAATTTATGTAATATGTCTCATTTTTTCCTTAAAAAAGAAAATTGGGAGAGTGCAACTGTAATATTTGACTTAATAAAAATTTTAAGTAATGTTGTCTTAAAAAAATCCTCACCCTTCTACACAAACTCACGCCAGTCTCAGCGCCATCTCTCGCATATCGTCCTTGGAACTACACAGCCTCCGTTTGACCCAACTCACTTTCAGGGAGAGACGGAAAAAATGGATCGAATTCGATCCCATCGCTTGCTGATCCTTGTTCTCGGATTCTCTGTGTTTATCTCCTCTGTATACTCCGATCTTCTCATCTCCAAGCTCGATCGCCAAGTACAGTGCCCTACGTTTTTTAATTTTGTTTTTTGATACATTTTGCCTGTTTCTAATATTGAAAATTGGCTTTGGCGTTTTCAGAAAAATTATTCGATTTATATGTGGAAATGTCGACGTGTTCGGTATGGATGGTTAGAGTTTATGAAGCTAGTGTATTATAGTATTATACACTGTTAGTTGTAATGATCTAAACTGGAGTTACCTAGTTTAATTAAGCATTGTTGTTCTAGTTTCGTTTTTTCAGATGCTTCTGTTTTTACTTTCTCTTTCTGATTTGATTTACATATGCAAAATAATGTTGAGAAATGAAAAGCACATTCAGTTGCTGGTACGTTAATGCCATAAAAGAAGATTAGCGTTTGGTATCGATTCTTAAGATTTACTGGATCTAAGATCAAAATTTGAACATTGAGTTGTATTCTCGTAGTTATAAGTTTTATCATTGCTGGTCTCGCTGGATCTGAGATCAGAATTTGAACATTGAGTTGCATTTTCGTAGTTTAAATTATATCATTGCTGGTCTGGCTGACTTAGAGTGATAATCTTGCACAGATTGACTTATCATCACATGTTGTACGGTCCGAGACATCACTGCAGGTAGTTTTCATCCCTACTTGTTGATATAAGTCAAAATTTATATACTTTACATGCTATGGGTTGTATTTGGCTTATTTTATTAATTATTGGTTTACAATCTTCCGACCCAGGTACAAAATAACGGCGATGATGCAGTATCAGAGATATTGTTGCCGTTCCCTGAATTTCAAGCACAGAGCTTGGCTTTCCTTTCAGCAGTAATTGATGAAGGGAAAGGGAAAACAAAAGTCTATTCTGATAGAGTTCCTATTAATGTTGCGAACCCGGAAGGCATGCCTCCAGCATTGACTTGGTATTCCCTCACATTGCCCAAGGCACTGGGTAAGGGTGAAAGTGTGACTTTGGAGGTCAAGGCGGTCTTTACTCATTTACTGAGGCCCTTCCCTGAGAAGATTACTCAGGCCGATTTCCAGCTCATTGCTTTCCAAGATGGCGCTCATTTTCTCTCTCCTTATCCTGTCAAGATCCAGTCGCTCACTGTTAAGTTACCTGAACCGAAAGTTGAATCCTACACCAAATTGGAGAATAGCAAGTTTTCTGGTTCGGAAATCAAATATGGTCCTTACGAGAATATTCCTCCTTTCTCGTACCCACCAATTGTGGTTCACTTTGTGAACAATAAACCGTTTCCTGTCGCTCAAGAGTTGGTGCGTGAGATAGAGATTTCACATTGGGGAAATGTGCAAATTACAGAAAATTATAACCTTGTTCATGCTGGTGCCGAAATGACTGGGGAGTTCTCTAGGTATATTTTTTAGTTTTACCTCATTAGGAAATAATCTTGTTATATGTCTGTCGTCATTTAAAGATTATTAATAATGTACTATCATTGATACTTGCAGGTTAGAATTTCAGGCAAGGCCCCATCTGAGAGGTGCATATGGATTAAGAAATCTTATTACCATATTACCCCCAAGAGCTCATTCTATCTATTACAGGGATGAGATAGGAAATATTTCTACATCTAATGTGTTGACTGAATCTGCAATGGTGGGCTTGGAATCTCTTGGTAAATGTTTTGGTTTGGCTACGTAATTTTTCTGAACACTCTGTTTGTAATGCAGACTCTGCTGGAAATCGAGCCTCGATATCCAATGTTTGGTGGTTGGAGAACCTCGTTTACTATTGGATATGGCTTACCTCTTCAAGATTTCGTATTCAAATCAGATGGAAAACGTTTTCTCAACATCCCCTTTGGGTGCTCGATTAACGACATCATTGTCGAAAATCTCACTGTAAAGGTAATTTCACTTAATGTTCCATTAACTGCTTCTGTTCAGAGTGTTACTTGTTTCATGCAAGCATATCAGTGTTAAAAAAAAAAAAAAAGTAATGGCATGAAGCTCTTGGAATTTAAATTCATGAGAACACATACATTTTGTTGTTTGCGCTATTTTGTAATTTGTGATCTTTGGCCACTTATCCACACTCTGCGCTTTCGCGTATGTGATGATTTTGCATTAACTTATTAGGGTACTGACCCTATGTACATGGGAACGAATTGCTGGAGTCATTTCACATTCAAACTTTTTCACAATACAACCCTGCACCGGACTGTTTTTTTTGTTTTTGTTTTCATCCTCCTTTGTGTGCATTTAAATCTGTTCAATTTTTTGATGGTCAGAAGTATAGATATTATAATTCAACTGTTGTTTATTAATAGCAGCAATAATTACGTGTCATAAAATGATTCCCCTATTAGTTGCTGTGTTTTGTGTCTACTGCTCCAGTATTACATTTATATTCTTCCCCTTCGTACTTGAAGATTTGCTATAATATGATGTTTGGAATTTGAATTCTCCAATTTCAGGTTGTTTTACCAGAGGGGTCGAAGGATATTTCAGTTTCTGTTCCATTTTCTGTCAAACAATCTCAAGAGGTACGACTAATAACTGAACTATGGATTGCATTACAAAAAAAACTATTTATAAGCATCTATGTACTTGTACATTCTTTCTTATATATTGTTCTTTCGAGCTGGTGCAGACAAAATTTTCCCATTTGGATATGGTTGGCAGACCAGTCATTGTACTGGAAAAGACAAATGTAGTGTCAGAGCATAATCAGTACTTTCAGGTATTTTTGCTGCATTTCAATTTCTGTAACCTTCCCGTGTAGGTGGGAGTTCTGTTATTATATGAAGAACTAAATTCCATTGAATGAAGAAGTTAACTTCTCGTTAACTACAAGGGGAACACTAACTCCATCTAAAGTTGTCCATTATAGGATGCTAGAATCAAAGACAACAGATCGAAAAGAAGTGTTCTCTTCATCAGACTGATAGAACTCTCTTTCATTTTGTGCAAAATGTATTGCTTGAGCTTGAAAAAAATCATACACCTCGCAAAGACATTTTTATGTGTGTAAATTTCAGAGTAGCTGACTTCTCAGACGAGGGAAAATGAAGAAATTGTTGTTAAAAAATAAGGATAACTTCTTATTTTTTTCGAAGCATTGTTTTCATTGTTATTACAAGTACTATTTTTGAATAAGAACATCTTTAGTACCAATGTAAGAAATTTGCTTCTGCATGAGCTGTAATAGAGACTCACTTGAAATGCGAGTTATTTATCTGATTACTTTCAACCAGTGGGCTGCGCCTTGGCCTATCATGGGAGGGGAAAATGTAAATGAGGGAAGTATCAGAATTAAGACTGTATATGTAGATAGCACCGTAGCTATTTTCTTTATAATTCAAAAGCAGTTAGAGTTTTTTATTTTATAATTCCACAGACCTTCTTGCCTGTGGTTACGGCTCAAGGAATTTGTTTTCATTTTTCCTTAACATACAATTTGAGCATAGATACACTTTCTTTTTTCCTTTAACATTCAGTTTAAGCAGAGATCCTCACCTTTTCTTTTCCTACTAATTTGCTTTATGCCACCTTTAAAATCTTATGGCGTATCATTCAGGAGGCAAAATATTGAATATATTGAATATTGCAATATGGCTTATTTTTAGTATAGTTTGTATATGTTCCGTATGTGCAATGCTTGAATGGGTTCAGCTTATTCATGCATTAGTGGATGATTTATGTGGGCCATCATTGCCACATTCTACTTGGTTTGCCAAAGTTGCAAATTGGACATACCTTTCAACTGACATATTGCACGAGTTAAATGTCTTTCATGCAGATGCTCCTAGATTTTCAGTATTTTGTATCAGTTTACAGTAACACTACCCATCTCACTTCTTTTTTTCTTCAAAAAGAAAAGAAAAAAAAATCTAATATTTTTGTTTTTTATCAGGTCTACTACAAATTCAGCAATATTTCCCTCCTTAGAGAGCCACTAATGTTGATCTTTGGATTTTTCCTCTTCTTCGTCGCATGCGTGGTATACATGCATGCAGACTTCACAATCTCAAAGTCTTCACCTTCTTATTTAGCTAAACTTCAGTGGGATGAGGTAAGTAGAGTCAGTAGACATCCTCTCACAGTTTCAGTTAAATACAAATTATAAATTCGCCTTAAGCAAAGAAAAATTGTATTGATTTGCCTGGTATTATTTTTTACAGGTCCAAAGTGTAATCCAGCAGTTTCAGAATATCATGAACCGGTGTTTGATTGTTCATGACAAGCTGGAAGCATCATTGCGTGAACTCTCGAGGACTGGTGATGTTCTGACTTGCAAATCGGCACGAAAATCTGCTGACTGTTTGCTCAAGGAGCTATCAAAAGAGTTGAAACCCGTGGTGTCATTTTTGCAATCTTCTCCAATGGCAGCTAATATAACACCCAAGGTTTGCATTTCACTTGCTATATAATATTCTTAGGAGCATGAATTGTTCTGTCTTCACTTTCTGGTAACTCATAGATATATTGTTTAAAGGGAAACGGATAATCTCAAGAAATACTGACCGACATAAGAGGTTAAATTTAACTATGAGAAAAGAAAGAAAGACTGTTGTTTCTTCTGAAAGTATAATAAATACCTTCCCCATGAGGGTGCAATTTTGTAAAACAGACGGAGATATATTCTTATAATTTTGAAATATGGTAGGCATGTCTGCGGAACATATTCCTTACACAATGTAAAGTTGAACTAGGAACATGGGTTAATTAATTATAAAAACTACTGGTTAGCAGGGAAAAAGTGAGAAAGAATTATCGATCAAATTAGAGATACTCTTTTGACATTCGTCTCTCTTTCACAAACTAAATTTCTGGAAGTCTGGTATTAAATACAAACCTGAATAAGTTTGAGAGGGTATTGGTCAATTGGAAGGTAATTGGAAATTGAGTACTTATGTAAAACTTGATGGTAATGTTTGTAATTATCTCCAAATTAAGAGAGCTTTTAGTTGTGGCCAAACCCATTACCCATGTAAGAACCGTTCTAAATACTAACTTAGTAGTTAGACTTATTCAGCATAGATATCTATTTGTTGGGCAAGTACAAACCTGAAAACTTTGTGAGGGTATCTGTAAATTTGAAAAAGTTTGTAATTAGCTCAACTTTTATATCCGGGACTTTTTATAAACAGGAAAGACCTCTCATAACCCCACTAATATATGAGAAAGCATAAATGTAACACTTTTATAAAATTAACCTACACCTATACGGAGCAATAGTTGAGATTTTTTTATGGTTCATCAATAGCCTGCATGAATTTGTTTATTATTTTAAAATTGTATGTGATGATGCAGGTTGAGGAGTTAGTGACCAAGGAGAGAGAGTTGCAAGAAAAGCTGATGTTGAAACACTCAACTGTGGTTGATGCTTATGAGAAAAAATCGGGTGGTGGTAAGGACATTGACAACCGTATTGCCGCCATTCAGCAGAAGATTACACTCTTGAGACAGGAAGTTGATGACCTTCTCGAAGTCATTGACGAGATATAGAAATCTAGTGAGAATTCAGAAAGTTGTAACTGTCCCAAAACATTGAGAAGTATTTTGTCGGGATATGTTTAGGTTAAAGTTTTGTTGTGCACTTAAACTTTAGATTTGATCTGATTCACACATCCGAAAACAAANAAAAAAAAAAAAAAAGAAAACTAAATTTGGACTTTGATTAATGATATGATATGAGACTTGGATGACTTATGAAAGCGCAGTGTAGCTTTTGTTTACTATTGGGATGGAAGTCAATGGATGTGTGCTGATGTGAACTGTAATGGCTGCAACTGGATTAAGTAGAATAAGTCACTTTCATCTTAGAGGCAAACGTTATAGCATACATAATAGTGAAATTGAATACAATGATGTGAACTATAATAGCTGCAACTGGATTAAGAAGAGGATTCACTTTCATCATAGAGGGAAACACTATAGCATAAGTAATAGTGAAATTGAATATAATGATGCACTAGTGCAACACCCATGAAAAAAAAAAAATTATAATAATAATAAAAAATAGGGAGAAGTCCTTATATGTGCGCTTTAAAGATGCATATATATGACATTTTTCCCTATATATAAAGACAAAGTTATTCTTG